ACCGGAGGGGCCTTTCCTGCCAGCCTGGGCTTCCCCCTCGCCGCTGACGCTACGCAGTCCGCTTGCAAGAGGAGAATCGTGCAGTAAACACTCCACCGAGGGTTTTTAAGCTCTACGGGGCTTGCCCGGCTAGCGAGCTGGGGACTACTCTCATCTGCTCTAAACCTCACACACCTGGCAACAACTTCGGCACTTCTGACTAGCAGATGATGCATCTCAAATGGCTGGGTTAGGCACAATCTTTGAAGAATTACTGTACTCATCTGCTATAGCCTGAAATAAGTCTTATAACTAGACATCAGTTTAGGTATCCAAGTAAACCAAAAGATCCAGACACAAATAAAAATACTAGATCCAGAATCAAAAGGCAATGACTAATGCCAAAAAATGCAAACAAGTTTCTTGCTTGTGACAACCCTCTTTTTTATAAATAAATGAAACAAACCTCTTTGGCTTGAGCTAAAAAGCCCTGTGAACCTAACCTGAGATCTGGAAGTGGTATCATTTTTTTTTTAATGGTGTAATCCATCAAAAAAGCCCAACAGGATAGTGGACTTTCTTTTCTATTCTCAGTCTAAGCATATCATATTGCTTCCCTCCAGCACTATTTTTGAGTCACCAAGATGCAAAAGCATCTATCAGCAAGTTACCACTGACTTTGGGCAGTGGAAACATTATAAAGTAGCAGCAATATGAATTAGTATTACAACCGGGAAATCAGACTGTGGTATGGCTCACGCAGCTCTTACTCAAAAAGGGGGTTCAAAGCAAACAAGAACCATTTATATTAGTCACTCCATTTGCTCCTTAGCATAACACGCTGTAGAGAAGACTTGTCAAGAAAGATCCTGATGCTTCAGAGCATCAACAGTGATTTTGTCACTTCGAGAATCATAACAGGAAGGATACTGGTTAAAGTTCTCTTCTTAGATGTTACTGGTCACAACAACTTACCAGCTTCCTGTTTATGGCTCTGTACTTCACACTGATGGGAGTTTTTGTTTTAGCTGCCCTTTTCAGCCCTTTATTAATCAAGTGTCAACATGGAAATAGGCAACTGACAGTAAAACAAAGCTCACTGCCTCCTAGTAACCTGGAACCACATTGATGAAATTCCATTTTTAATGCTTGCATTAAATATATTAAAACCATGACTTCAGAGACAGCAGATCAAACATTAAAATGTTGGTTAAGGTTATATAAACTATGAAATTCTGTTTATAACATTAGTCGGGGAAATTTGTCCTCATATTTTCATTCCTCCCTCCTCAAGCAAGTAGTATAAAGCTGGGAATCTGATTCTTTTAATCACAAAATTCTAGGATCACAGCAAGACAGACCTCAACCACAACTACTCAAAATAAAAATCCCACCGCCTATTCCTATACTGAACTAGTGCTCTAATATGAACACTGACTGGCCCATTTCTGTGATACAGCTTGTAAAACACTGGGTTTTTTTTGAAGTGTCATTCATTAAACAACCTGTTTGCTTTGTGAACTAGAAGAGAATTAGCCACACAACCAAATTAAAAGCATTTGCCTTGTACACTCAGATCTAACCTCAGAAGATTTAGGCTAGAGCCTTGCATCAGTAACATGCCTTGTTTCAACATTCCTACTACACAATAACTAGCTATATAAAGGCTATGGTTTGGCTCATAGTTAAGTCCCACCACATCTGTCAAACAGGTTACCCTGCTAAGCCTTCCTTTCACACAAAATTCTTGAAGTTGAACTTGACATAATTTGTAAGGCAGCTCTAAATCAGAATGAACAAGAGGTTTTTTACCCTCTTTGGTGGAAAGACAATAGCTTGCACCACAAGGACAGTTACAAACAAGCCAGAGGGCAATGAAGACTCAGAATCACTATAGCCATTTCCAGTTACAGCCTGGGTGTTACCTGAAAAAGCTATTAGCCTAGCACAGCACAAGTCCTTCATATTCTCCCAACCTGAGTCCGCAGCTGAAAGTTTCCTGATTTGGGCCACTTGCAGAAATCTGAAATGTTGCAGGACACATACAAGGAAGAACTCCTTCATACGATATCCACAGCAGCTTGTGCTAGGAAAGATTCTTAAGGGCAAACTTTTCAGCTCAGTGCAAAAATCAAACACATACAGACAAAACCAGCCTAAAATTTAACACACCCATGTAAAAACAGACTGATCAAAGCAGATTAAGCTTTTCAGTTACTTGTAAGACATTGCTATCAATCCTGGTTTAAGAAGGCCCAATCAACTCTTGCCAAAACTCAGGTGAGTGACCAGCAAGTACTACCAATCCAGGTCAGAATATCAACTGGCTTCAATAATGTCATGCATTTCTGTTTCAAGAAGGTGAAGGCAGAATAACTTGTCTCAGCAGTTTTCTCCACCAGTTCAGACTGAGACTATTAGCAATACAACAGAATCATTTCTAAAGAAAAAACACAAAGATGAATTTTGTTGTACTGCAACTTGCAGGCCTAAGAGGGGCAGACTTCAACCTTCTTGGCGTACAGACTTCCAGTTGTGGCAGAGAATGTCCAAAAAGTACTCTGTTGAAATCCTGAGGGATTTAAGGACAACCCTAGTGTTCGTAAGGAGGCCTCCAACACTCCTTCATTTAAAGTTTCAGTGAGAAGTAGCAAAATTACTTCCTCTGCCAGTTTCTTGAACTAATGCTTTTGCCTTACCCATTTTGCACATGTACTAGTTCTCCAACTACCCCTGCAATACAACCCTCTGGGCTTGGACACTTAAAAGTCACAGCTTCATCATGGAACAGTAAGTGGCCCAGCACCTCATCCTGCTTTTGAAAGTTAAAGCTCAGCATAGTCTGTAATGACAAGTTACTAAAAAGCAATCTGAAGCCAGATTAGTGTGGGAAAACTCACCAAACATTGTGTAGGG